CTGACTGTAAATCCTGAATATTGTTCTTGTGACCCAGTAGCTCTGTGGGATGCTCGGGTCTGCGAGCAGGGCCAACTTTTCGGAGCAGGATCCCTCTGAGACGGGCATGGCTGTCCCAGGAGACACTGAGGGCTCCATCATAGGGCTTGAGATCTCTTGGGTTCAGCCATCATCAGAGGAGGCCTTGCGTGCTGTCGGATGATGTCAGATCAGGTGCTACAGGGTCTTTGGCTAAAATGCACCTCCTGGGCCCCGGCAGCCTGCTGAACCCCAGAACCGCCCTTCCATCTCCTTAACCACAGAGCTCGGACCACGTCACCCGCTAGTTCTGTGCTTCTCTCCCACTCAGAGGGGCAGAGCCCCGCAGCCCCGCCACTCCGACCCCTCTCGGACCGCATCCCCCACCAGCCTCAGCAGCTTCCACCCTTGTGCCCACCGCTCAAGGCTCATCACAGCTCAGGGCTCGGCCGGCTGCAGCCTCCACCTCGAATGTCCCTCTCTGGACAGTCCAGGGCCAAGTCCACTCATCCTGCCGGCCTCTGCTCAGATGCCACCTCCCTAGAGGGGCCTTCCACAGCCACCCCTGCCCCACCCCTCGTTCGCTAGCCTGCCGTCTGCGCGCTCCGCCATGGCAGTCGTCGCCCTCTGACAGTCCCATTTGCCTGTCTTGTTGTTCCCTGTCAACCTCCCCTGCTGGAATGGGAGCCCCGTGGGAGCAGGGAATTGTCTGCAGCACCCACTTCGTGTCCTCAGCCTGGCGCCCAGAGGTGTTCAGTGAATGAATGAATGTCCCTTGTGTGAATGAATGAATGCCCGAGAGGCCAGGTTTGGAGGTCGCTGGCCCAGATGGCTGAGCATTCCTTCTGTTCAGACCCCCTCGGAGTCTGTGATCATCATAATGACAAACAGCCCCGCTTCTGTCTTCATCGCAGCGCTGACCGGCCATGTCAGGCGCTGAGCTGGTGCTCCTCGCAGGACCCGTGCTGGGCGCTCTGGGTCCATTCCCAGCATCCCATCAGCCTGTGTGTAATTGGTACCAAGGAGGAAGTGGGGAATCTGTCCAAGGTCACCCTGCAGGCCTGCAGGACCTGGGAGTGAAGAGGCCTGTGCCATTTTGATAGATGAGTTAACAGTTTCAAGGATCGACTGGGACAGTCCTTTCCACAAGCATCTCTTAAGCCCCTGCTGTGTCTTCCTCTCCTTGGTGACTCAGTATAGGTCGGGGTGAAGAGACGGCCTGACTTTAGCCTGCCCCTGAAAAGGGCACAGAGAAGATGACTGCTTTCCCGTGGCATTTAAAATACCTCCCGGCACAGGGATGCAGCCAGCCTGCCACCGAGATGTCCCACTGCTCCGCGGACCGTGAATGAAGGGACCCCCGAGGCCGTCATGGCACAGCCTCACCACAGTCAGGCGGGAGGAGGCGCCCGCACCCCCAGACCGGCTCAGCCTGGGCCCAGCAGGCCCTTGGGCCAGCGAGGAAACAGCCACCCTCGCAGACACGCGGGGGGGAGCCGCCAGCAGCAGCAGCCTGTCCGCGTTGGCCCTGCTGGTCCCCGAGCACATCGCTCCGCGGGGGAGCCCCTTGCTCTTGGAAAGGCAGCACCAGTGCGCATCATTAGAAATCTTTTTATTTGCGTAAAAACAGAGTCTGGTTGTCAGAGTCTTCACGAGGTCTCTCTCTCCTGAGGGGCTGTGAATGTCCTCTTCCCAGCGAGGCCACCTTGGCCCCCCTCGTGGGAAGCTGCCCACGCGAGTCTCCAGACACCTCCTCTCCCCTCCACCCCGCACCGGGGCAGCCCTTGGAACCTAAGCGCTGTGTCAGTGTGTCATGTTGTGTCTCGGGGATGGCGCGGCAGTGCTAAGGGGGCAACCGTCCAATGGATGAACCGCGGCCCCTCACCTTTCCCCACCGCCCTCCCCTCCAGGCCACGTCATCTCCCCCACTGCCTCCCCAGGTCCCACCAGGCCCTGGACACCCTCACCTGCAGTCCCTCCCCTGCTCGGAGCAGCTGTCCCCTCCTTTTCATCTTGCTGGTTCCCAGTAACCCTTTAGGACCCAGCTGAGAACCACTCGTTCCTGAGAACCTTCCAGAACCTACTGTCTGTGATCTTTCTTTCTCAGGCCTCTCCCTGGGTTTTCTGACTTTCCCGGGAAACTGTAAGCTCAGTGCAGGCAGATCTGTCTTCTGTTTCTGTCTGGGGCTCACAGCTCAGTGGCTGCACATAGTAGGACCTTTTAAATCTGGAGGGGGGCGTCCTTCTATCCCAAGGCCCAGCTCTGAGCCCTCGTGCAGGTTGGAGGCCTGACAAGGGCCGTCGCTGGGCTTGTGTGGCAGCTGGACTAGTGGCCCAGGACTTTCCCCAGCAACCCCATCAGCCTGAAAATGCTCAGACAATAGCTCCATCTTCCTGGCTCCTGGGGAGAACCCGTTTGTGAAGATTCCACACCTCCTGCCCTGACAAGGCTGGCGGCTCAGGGGTCCTTTGAGCCAGATTAAGTTGTCCTGTCGTGATAGGGCTGGCTCTGCGCATTACTGGGGTCTGTGGACATGGGCAGAGCCCACGATGTTCACTCATCTGTGCTTTGGACAAGTCGTTTTGCAACTTGTGCCGGGCTCCGCTGGGTGCTGTGCCTCCAGCAGAGTAAGATGGACAAGGCTCTGCTTTCCTGGTGCAGCGAGAAAGTAAACAGTCGGCAACAAGTGCTCTGAAGCAAAGGAGGAGGGCGCAGGGCAGGCCCTCGGAAAGGTGATATCCGAGCCGGACTCGAGGAAGTTAACTCCTGTGACGCCGCCGTTAGCAAGCGTCTGCTCTTGGGAGGGCATCCCTCATCGGTCAAGGGAAAACAGTCCCCTTTTTGGTCCCCAAAGTAAACAAGTGACCGAGAGCAGGGGGAAGGGCTCCCTGCCACCTGGCTCCTCCCTTGCAGTCTGGCCTCGAGTGTCACTGGTGCTGCAGAGGCCAGTCCAGCTCGGTGCTTGGCCTGCAGCCGACAGCCAGGTGCCCGCGTCCTTCCTAAGGTGCAGGGACCGGGCCTGTTCCGTCTCCCCCTGGATCGCAGTGTGTCCCCCTCAGTACACTTTGCGTATGAGACAGTTTACATGGATCTGCTCACACAGGCCTGGAACATCTCTGGGCACCAGCCAGAGTTTTTGTGAGTTCTGCAGAGGCGGGGGGGGGATATCAGGGGCTGAGGTCAGAGGTCGGCCTCTCCCCCAAGGGGACCAGAGTGGGGCAGCAGGAAGGAGGAGCCATGATTAAGAAAATCTCAAGGTGCTTGCACTGAGAATCAAATCGTGGGCTAAAACATAAATGAATTAAAAAATCCCTCCTCTGAGGCGTCCTTTTGCCACTCAGGGGTGGATGGAAGGGGCAGGAGGAAAAAACAAAGCAAAACAAAAAAAGGCATCTGACTTTCCAGAAAGTCTGATTTCAGGTGTAAAAATTCGCAGGAAGCACAGGAAACCAGGCCCAGCTCTTGGAAGCGGCGTTTGTTAGAGGCCAGGGCACCGTGGAGGGGGCGGGCGGCCCTGGGCCCCTGAGGCCCGTGGGACCACACACCTGGCGACAAGCTGCGGTCAGGGTGAGACCTGGGTGGATTTCGGACTGCTGATTGCACGACCGTGAGGAAGGAGGCCATACGATCTGGACTCATTTGTGCCCCTTTGGGGACGAGTTGGTCTCCGTGTGACTGTGTGTGTGTGTGTTCCTACTGACTCCCAGGGCGTGGACCTTTGGGCTTTATCCGCAGAAGCAAAGGGACTGAAGGGCCAAGGTAACTCCTCGTGGGTTGTTAGCACGTTCTGCACAGGCGGGTGTCAGTCCTCTGCCTCAGAGGCTACCCTCTCACATGCATTCCCCTCCTTCCAACATCTTACCTCTGAAGAAGAAAGGCTTCGGGGCCCAAACTCATTGAATAACTGGCTCGCTTTCTGCACCTTTGTCCTCAGTCCCTGTGGCTCAGTTATGGTGTCATTTTCAGGCACGGAAATCTGGAGTCACTGAATGAATCAGGACAAAATAGCCTGGAGCTGACATTCTAGCCAAGGGAGGGGGTGGGGCAGACAGAACAAGACAATGAAGTGAATTATGCAGGGGATGGAGGATGGTGAAGCCTGCGGAGAAAAACAAGGAGGGGGCGGGCAAGGTGGAGGGCAGGTAATGAGAGAGTGAGTGCATGAATGAGTGAGTGAATAGATGAATGGATAAATCATGGGTGAGTGAGTGAATGATCCCCTACCAGCCCACGCAGTGCTATCAGGAGAACCATCTGCCTCTCGGGGTCAAGGAGTCCTCAGGGGAGGCAACTGGGTATGACACTCCACCCCAGGCACTGTGCATGGCATCTCTGAGCATCCAGTCTGAGTGCTCCTGGGGAACACAGACGGCTGACTCATGCCGAACTTACGCTCAGCACCGGGGGAGCCTTGGAGGATGCCCTCAGGTGGTCCAGGTGGCTGCCTTTAGGGTCTTGAAATAGAGAGCTCTCTCACCTCCTCCACTTAAAAGCCGGTGTGACCAGCTGTGCAATCAGATAGGTTTGTAATTAAAGACGACTCTGCCAAAACATGTTAGGAATGTGTCTCCCCATCAGCAAAGATGGGTTTTCTCTGAATCGGTGCTCCGCAGATTAAAGTGCGATAAACTGGCCATTTTTCCCCAAACAATAAAAGGGTCCAAGGTACGCTTGCAGGCTACATGATATGGCAGTGTTTTTAATAATACTCTCCCTTTTCCTGGTGATCAGGCTAATTTGTGTTCACTGCATAAATCTTAGAAAACACAGAAAAATATGAAGTGGAAAATAAAAGCCGTCCACTAGCTTTTGTACGTAGTAAGAAAAGGCATTGTCGCCAGCAGTTGTGGACCTCGTCCCTGACCACATGGGGACGCGACCCTTGAAATGGGGCTTGTCTGGATCGAGATGAGCTGTGCGTGTGGAATACACACCAGGTTTCAAATTCTCATAGGGAAAGAAAGAATGTCAGATAGCTCAATCATTGTTATATTGATCATCTATATGTTGAAGGGTAACACTGTAATCTAATAAGCTACCTAAAATATTTTACTAATTTCATCGGATTATTTTTACTCTTCTAATGTGGCTATCAGAGCATCTCAAATCACCCAGCCGGGCAGCCCCGGGAACACAGGACACGGCAGCACCAAGAGCAGCTTGCAGCTCCGTCCTGCTCAGTGGCAGGACGGAGACCTGGGTCCTAGCAGAGGCCCTGACAGAAAACAGAAGCTCTGCACCGAGTCACACACAGGTGGAGGCATGATCAGGTGAACGGCACGGTTTCCAGGGAAAGCCCGTCATGGCCCCCCAAACCCCAGATCTTTTATTCCAGGCCCGGGGTCTCAGGAAAGCCTTGAATCTGCGCATAAAGCTACCTAAGCCTGGTCCTCTGTCCAAGGATGTCTGGTTTTGCTCGATCTTTGAGGAAGCTGTGTGAGGCCGCACTGGTCCAAGAGGATCCACTCCAGAGGGAGACCTGGGCCGCAGACCCAGGCTGTAACGTCAGGGTCCAGCCTCCCTGGAGACGGGTCTTTCGGGGAATCAGGGTTGTGTGTGGTCCCTGCCCCCAAGGGAGCAATAATGCAGGTGTGATGCACTCCACACACTCACACGCACGTGCGTGGACGACGCAGGTCCTGGGGCTGCCTGGGCGAGAGCCTCTTCTGTGTCACATGCTCAAAGGGCACGGCCAAGCTCCATCCCGGCTCCATGGCCTCGTCCTTATCTCTCACAGGCTCCTTGACCTGGAGAGAGGGCACGCAGTCCCGGGAAGGCTCGGCCTCATGTGGTGTGAGCTCAGGCGAAGGCCACCTGTGCGCGCGACACAGACGTCCTCTGTCCCCTCGGGGAGCGTTGATGGAGGGGCTGCTGGTCCCAGCCAGGGCAGGCTGCAGCTCTTTCAAGCCCCAGGAAGAAGACTTAAACCACCAGACGGGCCTTTCACTTTGAGAAGTAGGGAGTCCGCAGGCTGCGGCCGGAGTCCCCACGCCGCGCTGGGCAGGGTGGTCTGGAGGCCGGCCCGGTGGCATCCTGGGTCCTGTCCCTGGTGGGCAGGATTCCTGATGCCCAGGCGTCTATTATCATGGGGCCAACGTCCCGATTCCTGCAGGGTCGCTGGCACAGAGGGAGCTGTCTGAGACTCAACCAGGACCTCTCCCCACACCTCCAAAGAAAGGACCCCAGGGGGTTGGGGGGGTCATCTGTGTGAATCCATTTGTAGATGGTTGTAATCCCTGTTAAAAAAAATGTGAGTTAATATTTGTAGAGCGCTTAGCATGGTGCTGGCTTGGAGTAAGCACTGCACCACTGCTTGTTAAATAAATAAACATAAACAGGGAAATCTATATTGTGCCAAAGACAGAGAGAGGAGCAAAGAGTGCAGAAATAAAGCAGAAGACACGAGGAGGATGGAGCAGAAATGGATCCAAATGCTGGGACGGAGCCAACTGAACAGAGATGAGTGGTGCCCACTGAGCCAAGCCAGAGAGGCTTCCAGGAGGAGGTGACAGGCCGGCTGAGCTGGCTGGGTTCTAACTCACCCTGGGCATGTTTTTAGAGTACTTAGGAATTCTCAGAAGGCAGGACTTGGGTTAACAAAACATAAAATATCTGAAAATCCTCTGATGGCAACAACACCCATGGATCCTGTTGGGGGAAAACACGCGCCAGACAGAACTTCATGCTTTGGCCGTGGTCCAGAGCGCTGGGCTGGCGGTTTCCATGCCCGCGGAGTCTCCCCATCCAGCTGCAGCGTGCCGGCCTCGGCTCAGGGTTCTGACATCATGCGAGGGAAGGAAATGACAGGGGTCCAGTCTCCCGCCCACTGTATCTCAGTTATAAATTCCCCAGGCGTGTCTTCCCTGGGGATAATTACACCGAGTCGCTTTTAGCGTGTTAGGTCATATACCTGTTTGGGGCTGGTTTCTTTCCTACAGGGATTGCCCATCGGACACTTCAAGGGGACACAGGGCCAGCGGGGGCTGGGCGGCCACTGGCGCCCACAATAGTCCTGAGTCATGAGCGGCTCACCTCTTCCACGCTCCCCCTCCCACCCCGGCCGCCTGTGAGTCAACAGCAGTTATTTAGCGCCTGTGAGTGCAGAGATCTGAGCTGAGGAGAAGGCTGCCCCGCACAGGGATGGTAGAACCGAGGGACAGAGCAGCCTGGGTCCCCCCGGGGCTGTGCCAGCTCACCCTGGGAGGGTATCTGTGTATTTTGTAGAAGCAAACCAAAACTCCCACTTCGTGTATCTCTAATAAAAAGCCAAGCATCTCTCAAGCCTCCATTTCCATCAAAGCAACGTGGCAATAAGATCAGCCTGCTCTTCCGCGAGAGCGCAGGCGGGGGCCGATGGTAAGCCCCCTCCCCGCCCCCCAGAGCAGGGTTCTGCACAGGAGCGGGTTTTGCCCCCAGGGGGCATTTGACAATGTCTGGAGACATGTTTGGTCATCACACTGGAAGGGAGATGGTGCTCCTGGCATCCAGTGGGAGGATCCCAGGTGCACAGGACAGCCCCAGGACAAAGAGCAATCCAGCCCAGTGTCAACGGTGCCCAGTGGAGAAGCCCACCTGAGGACACTGTAGCAGAGACCACTGCAGGGACAGTCCCTGCCCTGGCTCACCATGGCCTCGTTCTGCTCGCTGTGTAGAGCTTGGTTTGCTCATCCGGGAGGATCAGACACGTGCCTCTGGGCAGGCAGAGAGCAAGACTTTCTTTCTCATGCGCAACCCCAAGGCGATGAAATTGTTGAAAAACAAAACACCATCAGAAAGGGGCCCTCCTAAGCCTCTAACAAGGGAGGCTGTCACCCGACTGCCTCCCCAGTCTCCCCTCTTCTGCATCCCTTGTGGCTCTGTGTTTGTACCCCCGTGACCATTAAGATGTCAGCAAAGATGAGAGTGCCTAACAGTGGGGGACATCACAGTGACACGGAAGGACCACGCGGTGGCAAAACAGGGTGAGCTGTGAAGCCCAGAGCTTCCCAAAAAATGCACCGTCTAAACTAATAAGACTGGTTTTCCCTCATTCATGAGCGGAGAGTTAAGCCTGCTGGGGAAATCCGTCCCTTTGTGTTTTTAATGAGAATCATTGAGTCAAAAAAAAGAAAATGCAAAACTAATGCAGCAGCTTATCTAGAGGACCTGTTCATAAGCAATTGGTGACTCAGAGTAGAGATAATCCTAGCAAGCTTGGAACCAGGAAGGTGACATCATCACCCAAACAAAAGGGACCCTCACTGGAAGAACCCTGTTCCCCCTTCCTGATTTGGGGGGAACGTTGTTTTTACGTCTTGTTGGTCCCCAGCATCCCAAGACCCAAGAACCCCCAGCCCAGGCCATAAGTGGCCTGGGATCCAGCTGACCCCTCCTTTCATCTGCTCTATGCAGAGGTCACCCTGCATCTCCCCTCCACTAGCTGAAGCGTTTCCACCCTGTTGGCCTGGGAAGACTAGGGGCGGAGGGGGCAGTAGATGCAGGGAGAGGGACAAAGCAAGGTAACATTCCCGTACTGAGCAAAGAAAGTGTTGCTTTACAGGTAAGCAGACGTCTCGAATCAGGCTAAGGCATAGATCACTGAAACAGGAGGTGAAACGCAGCTTTCTGGGCAAAACCACAGGGAGGGCGCTGTCTCAGGAAGAAGGAGGGAGCTGCTAAGGCTCAAAAACTGTCCCCCACCCTGCAGCCCCAGAGGCCCCTCCTAGGGTCAGGAGTCAACTGTCACCTCCCAAACGTTTGGAAGTACCAATGCACCCAGATTTTAGGAATTAGATTTTTACTCTTTTTTCACAAATTATAACTCGTAGATGTCTACAAGACCCTTTGCCACTTGAAAATAAATTTAGAACAATGGTACATTAGGGTTACACAACCTTGGTTGTTTACCAACAAGAGTAAGGGAATGAAGTTACATAAGCCTGTGTGTGTGTGTGTGTGTGTGTGTGAGAGAGAGAGAGAGAGAGAGAAAGAGAGGAGGGGAGAGAGAGAGAGAGAGAGAGAGAGAGAGAGAGAGAGAGTA